ATAAATAAATAAAATCTTTAAAAAAAAAAAAAAAGAAAGAAAGAAAAAGAAGTCTGTACCAACATGTTTGTACCAACATGTAGTCGCACCATCCAGCAAACAATACAAAGGCCCAATAACCAGGGTATAGCAATCTACTGGAATAACAAACACCTAGAGTGGAAATGCATAGAACCGTGCAGGAAATAACAAAATAATATTAACTGAAAAAGGCTGGACCCAAAATAGAACACAGACACTGATTACAACTAGATAATTATATTTGTGTTCGTCGACAAAATTATGAATGAAATTGAAACATAAAATGCGATGATTATTGGATTTCTTTTTTCTATAAAGTCTTTTAAATGCCTCATAATAGCAAAAAAAAAAAAAATAGAAAAGAAAATGAAAGAAAAGAAAAACCATAATCGGGGGGTGGAGAAACTTTCACGATCAGTTTTTGGATTTCCATCAATTGTCCTAGATATGCTAAGTGAACTCTTGCTCCTTCGCTCTCCAAGACTACCATTAAGAAAAGTGTGACTAGGGGCGCCTGGGTGGCTCAGTCGTTAAGCGTCTGCCTTCGGCTCAGGTCATGATCCCAGGGTCCTGGGATCGAGCCCCGCATCGCGCTCCCTGCTCGGCGGGAAGCCTCTTCTCCCTCTCCCACTCTCCCTGCTAGTGTTCCCTCTCTTGCTGTCTCTGTCAAATAAATAAAATCTAAGAAAAGAAAAGCTTGACTAACAAGCGTGCCTTCCCTTAGATTCCCAGCACCACCCTCGTACATGTAGCTGGGCTGGCACCTCCAGCCTGTCTGCAGGCTTGCTCCTCTGAGTCGAGCCTGATCTACCCACCTCTGCTTGACTCCTTCTTGTTCCTCTTCTCCCCTACTCTGAAGTATCACTGCCTTGCTCATTTCTTCCCTCTCCTGGATCTTCCACCTCTCCCTCCCTATTGGTCCTTTTCCCACAGCCAATAAATAAGTCTCTCATCTCAGAAAAGAAACCCTCCATTTCTCTCTCCTTCCCTTCTCATCTGGGCTCCTCCAAAGAGCAGTCCACACACCAGACCTCCGCGCTCCCCCATCCCCTGTGCTCCTCCAGTGACCCTCACCATGCTTCTGAAACCTTCTGGGTACGGTCACCAATAAGCTCGTCATAAAAATCCAGTGGTAAATATTCTGTCCTCGTCATAATTGACCTTCTCATAGCCTTTCATCATTGTTAACCCCTGCCTCCTTTCCGCCGACTGCTCCCCCCCACCAGCTTCTGAAACACAAGCTTCTTGGCCCCTCTGCCCAGCCCCGCTGTGTGGCCCTCCCTCACAAACCCCCTCTGCTGTCTGACAGCTTGCTTCCCTCCTCCATCCAGGGCTCTTCCCGCTCCAGGTGATGTCCTCGCTCTCCTGTTCCAACCATCCTCTCTATGTCAACCACTCTTAAGTCTCTCTCTCCACAGAAGCCCAGAGCCGTGTGGCCCAAAGCCTATGGGACATCCCCACTCGAAAACACTACAGTTATCTCAGCCTCAACTTGCCCAGAGCTGAACTCATTCTCTCTCCAACCCCACCCCATCTTTCACCTTCCTGGAGGTCTCCCTCTATTAATGGCCCCGTTCAATGACCTTTGGTGAGAAACTCTCAACATCTAATGACTGACCAAAGCCTTTTGGTTTTCCTTGCTTCATGTCTTCCTAGGTCCTCCATGGCACTGCTCTAGCGTGGACCACCACTTCCCCCTGAACAAGTCCTACTCTTCCTGTGGGAATTTCCTACTTCCAGCCCATCACACTTCATCCTCCCCATGGTAGCTAGTGTGTTTTATTTAAAACACGGTACCTCAACACACTCACTCCCTGCTGAAAACTCTCCAATGGCTTCTAGAATCCTTTGGGTTAAGACTTAAACTCCTTAACATGGCACCCGAAAACCTGAACCCCCACTCCCCTTGTTCCCACCTTCTTCCAGCGGTTCCAAACCTCCTTGTGGTTCGCAGAGTCCATCATGCAGTTTCTTACTTCTGTGCCTTTGCCCGTGCTGTTAAAGAGCCAGAATGGCCCATTCTTTTCCCCTCCTCTAGCTATTTGGTGAGCAGCCATCAAAATCCTGCCCTCTTCCGTATGTAGCTTTTCCTGATTCTGGCGGTTTAATCCTCCCAACTTTCTAACACTTTTGTATCACATCTAGCCTACTACTGCACACAGCATACTGAGGTTCATTTGTCTTCCTGTTTGTCTCCCACATTAAACAGTGAGTTTCCTGTGGGTTCTCTATGTCCGTAGTACTTGGCATAATGATTAGCACATAGTAGAGGCTTAATAAAAGTATGCTGAACAGAGTGCGTGCCTGTAAGAGGTATTTGTTTCCAAAGGGTCCATGGGCATGGGAGTACAGGGAGACTCCTGAACATTCAACTGTGGGCTCTTGAGTTTCTGGGTTTGCCCATAAGCAAGTGGGGAGATTCCTCTGGGGGACTCAGACTCTGCACGGGTACATTAGGATTTCCCACAGCACTGCAGCTGTTTCTTGTTTCTATCCCAGTCCACCGTGGGAGAGGGGAGTCTCAGAAAGTCTGACAGCAGGCTCCCCAGCTTTATTCCTGACATTAGCAGTATTCCTGATTTACCTCCCCTTTGTCTCCCCAAATTCTACATGCACAAATGGCTGCAACAGAGTCTATCCACTGAAATATCTGGGTCCTTTTAAAGAGTTGCCCCCATTCTGCCCCCACAACCCAGTCCACGGCATTACTCAGGGTATAAACCCCTCTGAGCCAAGAAAGGAATAATTAATAAAAGTGATGACTTAGGGCCAAGTCTTGACAAAAGCTTATTTTTAGGCAAAGAGATTCCACATAATGAGAGTGAGCTGGAAGGATCAGGACAAGCAGAGAGCAATGCACATAGCTCAAATATTTAGGAAGCTCTTTGTTCCGGATATCACATAGTACCTTGTTGGGGGAAACCGGGCAGGGCTGGGCGCCACACACAAAGACCTAACCATTTCACATCAGGGTACTGAAAGGCTCTGGCCCAAAATCACATGGTGCCCGCTTAGTGGGTCATTTGTAAAAACACATTAGATACTTACAGATGACTGAGCAGATAGGTCCCACTTTGTACTTGGTGCCGTGCAGGCTGGCCAGAGCCTGGGCAGCCTTTTTGGCCACTTCATTCTAGAGTGAGAGAACCAAGGAAAGGTAGATGGATAACACTTGCTTCTTGAAGATCATATGCCCAAGGGCAGAATGTAGAATCGGGCCGTCTGATTAACTGGACTCTCTGGTTAACTCAGGCTTAAACACAACGCCCTTTCGTTGCAGTCATTTTCACTGAGAAGCAAACACTAGTTCACTTCTGTTGGCTTCGAAAATACAACACACAGACCTTCATTGTTTATTTCATCATCCAGGTGTTTGCAATAAATACACCAGGGTCATTATTTTGCCACCATCCCTCCTTGTTCAGGGGTGTAGGCGGAAATAGGGTGGGAGTAAGGGGCTAAAGAGAATACGTACTGACCCCATGATGTACCCGGGAAGTTGATTTTTTTTTTTTTTTTTTTTTGCTAGATCCCTACATTGGCTTACCTCCTTATGATTGTCTCTTTTTCCAAGAAGTAGAGCTCAGCAAAATATTTTCCATTATTTGAGGGTTCCAATTTTGACTGATTGGGGCTTTACTGTCCTTGCTAGGGATAAATGTAAGGTCTTGAACTTGGGTCCAGGAAAACAACTGTACAATTACCAGATGGGGGAACCTGGCTCGGCAGAATCCTCAGAGAGCCTGGGGGTTTCAGTTGTCAATGAGCCCAACATGAGTCAACGGCACGGTGCTACTGCCAAAAAACTAATGTGACCCTCAACTGTTTAAGCAGAAGTGCACGGTCTGGAGGAGGGCAGCTATGGTCACGCTCTGCTCTGCGCTGGTTAACCCACAAGTTTTATGTTCACTTCTGGGAGCTACCCTTGAAGAACAGAGATGATCCAAAGCATGTTCGGAAAATAGCAAACCAGAATGGTGAGGGAACTTGGGGCCATATTATGAGTGCTTGAATGAGCTGTGGGTATGGAGTAGGGATACGGAAAAACCTAGCAGAACCAGGTTACTGGTCTTCAAGTGATTAATGGATTTGCTTCTTTTCAAAGACAGCAAGATGATAAACCAGGGCTGGCAGGTAAAAACCATAAGGAGAAGGTTTGGGCTCTCTATGAGGAAGAACTCAAAAAATCAAATCTGCTCCAACACGGAACAGAATCCCTTGGGAGGCAGGAAACTGTCCAAACACAGGCTGGATGACTATGTGGCAGAGATATGAGCACCCAGTTCGGATAATTTAAGGTCATCTAGGTCTACTAAAAGTACCTTTTAGGTTCTTTTCAATCCTAAGGTTCTTTTTCCCTTGATTTGGCCTTGAGTGGTAATACTCACCAACAAAACCCTGAAAACTGCCCTACAGGGCTAAAATCCAATGGATGAGATGAAAGATACACCCGAATAGGAATAATTTGTTGCATTTCTGCCAGGAGCTGCTGACAATAACATATTTGAAAGTAAATTGACCAAAAGGTCCCATCTCAGGGTTTATCTCTAACATATGGGTCTCAAAAATCAAGCCTAAAAGCCAAATTGGGAGTATCTGCACGTTCTCTTCAGCTGGGGATAGCTCTTGCTCAACTGTAAAGTAGCCCCCTGAGATGTCACCATCTGACTTAAGGCTGCCACCAGTTTGCTCATTCCTGAAACAGGAAAGATGATGGAAGGTAGCAAGTTAGGGAAGGGAGTGTCTAATGCCCAACATCACACACCTGTGCAGCATGATGGCAGGTCACAGAGTGGAAAGCACCAGGAAGCTATGAGGCAAAGAGCTGGGAGACAGTACTGTTTAGCATCCAGCATCTGACAGCATCTGACTACAAATCTAAGAGCCTCACGTCCAAATTCAAGTGTTTATTTCCTAAGCAGCAGAAAGCGCATCCTGGGAATTTATGGTCAAATTGAGGCTCCTGCTCATCTAGATTAAGGCAACAGTAATTTCATGAATTCTATTTCCCAAGGAAACTTAATTTGGGAAAGTCCACAACCAGTCTTTCAAACCTCTGCCTGTATCACAATCTTCTCAGTGGTTGGACCTATTCATCTTTGTAACCTGTCACTAATACACCCCCATCTCAGTACCCGACTTTATGACTGAAACTTACTTGTCCACACAATAGACCTTTGTGGCTGAGCTGAAATGACATTTTGGAAACTTACCAGTTCATCAAAGTTATCTGACTTGGTACATGTATACCCATAGGGGAACATCAGCAGCTGGGAATAGCTGTGGAGGGTAATGAAGGCCTTGATCCTCCCGTGACTCTTGATGAAGTCCACTATGGATTTCACTTCAACTTCAGAGTTGGCACGGGGTCCATGGTAGGAATCAGAGCAAGGGTTGCTGCTGGCTCCAGGTCCTGATGGGATGCAGAAGAAGCCCAGTAGAAACAGTAAGCTTCAAGGAGATGCTGTGTGGATACATTTACCGTGCATCACTAAGTTCCTCCTCAGGAAGTCAGCAAGACTGTCCCTGTATTAGGTGGAGGTGCTATCTAAGGGCACAGGAGGCCAAACTGAAGTGATTCTGGACGCATCCTCTCTTCTTTAGAAAGATGGTTCCTCTATATGGCAGAAAGAGCTATCAAATTAGATCATCTCCTCTCTGTGGGAGTTGTTGGAAGGAAAGCTAGATTTAACATTATGGATGGAATTCCTGCATTGGGTGGGAGTTGAGCAAGCTCTTTTTCTGGGATTTCTTCCAATTCTTAGCGTCCAAGAGTAGAAGATTCTATGCACTGTACTTCTAAATCACAAAGCCACAAATGCAAGGAACCTCTGACACCCTTTCTGCAGTGAGGAAAGCACAACTGCACTTGACAACAAGGCCACCTTCGGCCTTGATTTTCTCAGCAACTGGAGTTCCTCGTGACCACTAAAGTGGTCCACTGTGGCCTGGCCAGGGCTCCGAATGCTAGAGAAACTTCGAGGGGATCAGGAGGGGCTGGGACTCCCCAGGGTCTCTAAATGATATAGACAAAGTATAAATACAACCTGTCACTTTATTTCAAGATTATTTAATAAGAACCATAATATTTCAGGAAAAAAATACCTGACATTGAATTCCTGGGCATTGTTCAGTATTTTGGATCTGATGCTTTGATTTTTTTTGTTTTTTCCTACGCTAAAAAAAACCATTATAAAAGCGATGAATGAACTTGCCACTCATCCATATCCTGTCACAATTCCTGAGTGGGTCTTTTCTTGGTTCAATAACTCTCATTAATTCATTTGTCTTACAAATACTTAGTGATTGCCTTCTATGTTCCGGATACTGTACTAGGTGTTAGCGACAGTGCAGTGAAAGACAGTTTCTAACCTCACTGTGACCAGACCTAGTGAGGAAAAAACAAACAAATTTCAGTTCTGTGATTAGAGAAACATAGGAGTTTTAACTGGTCCCTAAAACCATAAAGGAGCCCCCCAACCAGGCTGCCACTGAACCCCAAAAAATTAGAGCCACAAGTCAACAAAACCCGAGCAGCAAGCCAATATTTTCTCTTTGAATCTGTTTTGAAAATCAATTTCTTAATCCTATTTGTACTTCTTTTTAGTTTTCTTTCTCGAAACATCCAGAGATGATGTAATGCTTCTCCTCTGAATAGATCCTAACCCCCTCTAGTGGTTGGTTCAGGCCTTCCTGAGTGAGGCCTCCCGCCATTGCGCCAAGTCTTGCTCTGAAAACTCAGAAGCGAAGCCGAGCTGGGCTACAGCTTGTGGGAAAACTAAGATGTGAGACAAAATATATTCAATGCTGCTCAGAGATCTGTGACAGCGCTACGCGCCTGTGAAGGGAATTTACTTAAGTGTTTTTCAAATAGGTTTTTAAATGGCTTCAATCCTGAATGGGCTTAGCAGGCTGACAGCACTGCAGAACCCTGCAAAAATAGCTAGTTGGCCAGACAACTTCGGGCCATCCCTGGGGGCAAGTCCCCGTGCTCACCTCCAAAACCTGCGTCCCAATTCCGGTTAGGATCAACACCAACACAGGAGCTTCCTGATACCTTGGACCGGGTCTTCCGCCACATACGATTCTTTAAAATCCAACCGAAAGATAAGACAGGAAAAAAAAATGACGGTCACTCGACCTGATGAGAAGGTCCCTTTAGAATCCTGTTCATTTTCCTTGCTCCCTTCTGGGAAGGCCCCTTTGGAATTACACTAATTTCCCTGGCCCACAAAGGTGTCAAACAGTCCTCCTACGGGGTTCTGTGAGGAGCTTCTTGGTCATCTCACCAAAATGAGAAGTAAATAATCCCCCATCTCCTCAAATCAATACCTGGCAAACCATTTTCCACAGGACACCAGTTCTATTCAGTGTTATCAATAATAAAAACTAACAACAACAACAACAAAAAGTGGGGAGAGAGCAAGAGTTCTGTGATAGAATATTTCAGGAAAATATAGAGCTAAATTCACTAAGGTACTTCAGCACTTCTAAGAGTTTTTTAATGCTTTCGTGTTTTTTTCTGCCGCTCCAGGAGAGGGATATGGTGGGCGGTACTTCCCAAACTTGACTGTGCAGCCCTCTATTCATAGGATATCTCATGAGGTGAGTACTAGTATTTGTACGAGTTCTTTTTGAACACACGTTGAAAAACACTAGCGTAGTCAGCTCTCTCCAAAAATAAACTTGAAGCTCTGATTCACTTTGAATATATGTGGGGTCACAGTTGCCACAATGGGGTTCTGTAATAAGATTTTAAAGGGGGAAAAAATCTACGTAACTCCTTTTAGTGATATTACAGAGGATTTCTTCTACAGATTGTAAGTAAAATGCTAAATGCATTGTACTGCCTACCCAAATCCTACTGCAATCTAATTGTCAGCAGGTAACATCCGCCTCCTCTTTTCCATCAATCCCACCACAAAAAACGCAGAGAGAATTGGAACAAATCTCCTAGGTGACTCATGGTGAACACTGAGCTCTAATAGCCCAGCCTAACAGCTGAAATGGGCTCTGACCGAGGCAGTGTGTAAAGACATCGTGTGTCAGAATAAGAGGTGATTATAAACTCCACTATATGCCTCAATTCAGGGCCACTACTGAGAAATTACGCATTCTGCTTCTGGTAAACCAAGAACAGAAAGGTTACTTTTGTTTTTTAAGTTCCTACACATCTCTGTAAATTCTTGTTGAAGAAAACGGTCCAGGCTTACTCTGATTTGAGAGAACACATATCCATCGGGATTTGTGACCGGCAGCAGGAAGATATCCATCGTGTCCAAAATGGAGGTGATGGATGGATCATTTCCATAATCAGAGGCAATCTGAGCAGAGACAACACAGACGTCAATTTCACACTCCCCTTTCACGGGGGAACACAGGATGGAATATTAAGGCAATGTGTTTTTTTTCAGACATGAACTAGATACCACTGCTGGTCAATGAGAGCCTGCCAGGACTACAGCCCAGTCTCCTGCGATGCTCATGTGTTTAATATGCCAGCATCTATACTTTTATTTCCAGTCAGAATAACCTACTTAAGTAAAACTCAGATATCACTTATCCATTCTCTCTCAAAAGTAGAATTCTTTCTATTCATTCCGAGGAAGCATTTTGCAATGGTATATTGTGGCTTATAGGGATCTGTGAACCAAAGACATTTTTTCAGTTTTCCTTCATCATCACACAGACTAGCTTTCCAAAAGTACTCATGACAACAACAGATTACTTAAATGTGTAGAGACTTTTCTGAAGATACAGAGGATCAGTTAAATTCCATTTGGGGAATTAAATATCTACTTGCGATCAATTGCGGTGGAGTTGAAGTTTCTGCTGGATTAAAATTTATTCATTTCCTGTGCTCAGCCATCCTAAGGCATTATTATTCAACTGTTAAATATCCATTTCATAATACCCTAAAGGTAACTGCATTTTAATTGAAGGGAAAAATGTATCAGTCAGTATACACGTGGTTGCACATGCTTGAATGATCTGATGTGGATTGATTTCCTTTGCTCATGAATTAACATTCTGATTTATAGCGTGTCATTTTTGAATTACTTAAGCAATACCAGACTAGGTCACACCCAGCCCACTGTCCTGACTCTTAATTCCAATGAAGTGTGGAGGAAAGGTATCGCGACACTGACTTCAAAATCAGATTTGGAACATTTTCAGAAAAACCCAAAAACCCTTAACTAATTTCACTTTGGATCTATGGGGCAAAGTAAACTCTTCTAGCACCTGTTTATATTTTCCATCTGAGCCCCTTTGGTGATTTTATAGATTTCTAGCACATCGTCCCTCAGCCCTCAGGGCCCGAGGCAGCAACGCAATTTTTCTCGAGCCTGTTCTTATGCTGAAATCTGACTCCTGGGGTCCTTACTTAGCACCCTCTCAATCTCTTCTGGCTGTGCCTATTAACAGAGCACACAGTGGCCGGCAGGCCCGGGCACAGTGCCAATGTGCTAGCTGGGGCAATACCGCAATCCCCAAAAAGGGTGAACGGGCCTATTTGCTGCCGGTGCAAAGAAAAGCTCGCTGAGAGCATCAGCCGTGAGGACCACAAAGAGCATTGCGTGATTAGGTGGGGCCTAACCCCAGAAAGTCAAAATAATCGAGGAATTATAGGAAAAATGACCTTATTTGCTGTCCACAGTGCAGTAGCTTGCGTAACCCACTCGCGAGCATGGATCCCGGCGTCCAGCCAGATGGCTGGCTTGTCTCCTCCGGTGCTGAACTGTAAAACAGTGTGGAAATGTGCAGAACTCCACTGCTGCAGGCTCCTGTCCCCGATCTTTTCCCCTGGGGCCTTGTCTGTCCCTTGTTCTGTACTTGATGTGATTGAGAGAGAAGGAGGAGGTGTAGACAGAGATGCTGTCGATTAACTCTTATTTCACGTGATTTTTCTGATCCCCTGCTTTTAATAGAAGTTTAAATGCAGGCTAACAAGAGGGCATAGACTTTTTCTCCTGTGATGTCTGTAAAAACTCGTTGCAGATAATGTAATGACATGAAATCATTTGTTGTAAATTTTACAAGACAGGTTACAGAATAGTATGATGCCTTTTTGATTCTCTTAAAAGGCTAGTTCATGTATGTATGTTTATATATGTACACACACAAACATATGAGACAAAGGAAGAGGGGAGGAAGGGAGAAATAGCAAGATGTATTACAAAAAATATTAACAGCTATCACCCCATAGCCATGGAACTCGGGGATGTTTTTCCTTTTTTGTTTCTCTATTTTCCAATTTTTGAATCATTGTGTTATTTTTGTAATAAAAACGCTTGTGATAACCTTTTGAGTCCTTCATAAAAACAGCATGGTAGGCTCTGGAGGTGTTTTCCAGAGTTTAAATTTTATGATCTAAGTGTCTCAGTTTTATTTGGAAGAGTGGCTTTGCCAATTGGATCAGTAAATGGGGAGGAAAAGATTATTTTTGCACCATCAACTTCTATCTCTGCACTGCATTCTAAACATAGCAGATAAGGTAAATGAGAAATGCAAATCCTTGCTAAAAATTACATTTCAAGGGCTTCGAAAGTTTTAGTTATAAGTGTTTCATGTCTTTTCCTCCAAAGGGCTCAATCGTAGAAAGTGGGGAACTTTCAAAAATCACATAACATTCTCACCCACGAACTACCCTAGAGAAGAGAAGGCCAGGACAATCCGAGGGGGAGGAGAATCTGGGATTTCCTGGCCCAACGGGAGGAGAAACAGGGGAGAGGGAAAAAAATGTTTTTTAAGAAGGTAGTAAATATTAGCAAATGTACCACGGTGTCATAAAGTAGGCAAACCACTTCTCTCAAGCCTGCTTCGGGAGAAACACTGTGGAGAAAACCATCTGTCCCAATGAGTCCGTTGGTTCTCAGCCATAACATTACCAAATTTAGTAGGGAGTTGTGACATTATCGCTCTCTCCTTTTTTTTTCCGCCCGCTTTCACAAACTCTTTCTAGGAAACCTGGTAAATAAATTCCACTTTTTCGGGGCAAAGTAAAAAAGCTTGAAACTATCAGCACTAAGACGGTAAGAGGTTACAGGTTGGAGTAAAACCCTAACCTTTTTCAAACTAGCAAACAAATGCCTTGGTTTTCTGGGCATTTGCCTGTGCAGTTCAGTTGCCCTGTCATCCTCCCGCACACTGCAGGGACGCTTCTGTTTTCAAATGCAGCTCAGGCAAGTACTTGGCGCCTTTTTTTTTTTTTTTTTTTTAATCCCTCGGTTTAAAAAAGAGAGAGGGAAAAGAAAAGGGAAACAAAGTATAGAACTCCTACCTTGATTAATTACAGAATACCTCCCCCATCCCCCCTGCCTGCTCACCCTGAGGCCCGCACCCCCACGTCCATCTCCCCTCTCACCCCCGGGGCCCGCACCACCTCCCCCAAAGCCCCCACCTCACGGCGGACCACCACCCCCATACCTCCCTCACCCTGGGGCCCTCGTCATTTCCTCCATCGCCCCCCTTCGCCCTGGGACCCCCGTCACCTCCTCCATCCGCCCCCCTCGCCCTGGGGCCCGCACCGCCTCCCCCTTCCTCTGTTCCTATTGGCGCGTTCGCCTCTGGTTCCCTGCGAGCGAATCTATCAAGATGAGAGCATTAATTCACTCCTGCAGACCTGCGTCAGCTTGCGCAGGAAAGAGAAAAAGAAAAAGAAAGGGGGGTGGGGGTAGTGGGGAGGTGGATACTCAAAACCAGCAAGGACCGGTTAGGAGGAGAAAAGGGAAGGGGAAAAAAAAAAAAGAGAGAGGAATTGCTCTGCAGGCAGAGCCGGGACTGACGGCCCGCCTGGGAGCGGCGAGATTCTAGAAACCTCGGGAGGAAAACCCGCAGCTGCACCTGTGTACCTTGAGCACGTTCATGGGCCGCTTTTCAAAAGAATGGCCAATATTCACTTTGCTCACTAGACCCGGGTGCTGAGCAACGATGTTATCCATTTCTTGGGAAATCTGAAATGTGTAAGAATAAGTAGACATTTGCAAATGAATGATGTGATGCAGCCATTAGTGACTTTTCTCCCGCCTCCATTTCCATTTCCTCCGGGGAACGGAGAGGGCAGCGCGGCAGATGCTGCGGGATTGAGGGCGTTGGACACAAAGCGAAGACATGATGAGTCACCGGGCGTCCGCCGGGGTGGGAAAAGGGGAAGCCATTTTGTGGCGGCGGAGCCGGCTCGTTCCGCCTTTGTGCTTCCGACAAAATGGCACTTCCCTGGCTTGCCTGTGGCTTTCCTCATGCCCGCTCGGAGGGGCAGCTTCCCCGGCCACAAAGCTGCTCGCCCTCACTAGCAGAGGGACACGCATGGCAGGGGCACCCCCCAAAAAAGGTGGACTTGGAGGCCGGCTCTACAAAAGGCAGCGGGGCTGGTTCGGGCCGGGGGCGACAGGGCGCTGGCCTCTGAGGCACTTCCGTCACCAGCTCCCTGGGCTCCTACTTGGAGGCTGATTGAAACGCTGTGCAGCCGGGGCACCCAAGCTGGGTCCGTGGCTGGGACTGAGACGTGCCTGGGCGAGTCTGAGAGTGACCCGCGTGCAAACGGCCCCTCCGGCCGCTGCCGGCGCTTCCGCCCCGACGACACGGACACCAGTTTGTGAGGCCAGGCGAAGGAGAGAGCGAGCCCGCGAACCTCTCACTTTCTTCACGCCCTTTACACCTCATTCTTTGTACTGGTTCACAATCCTTTAGCTCAAACCCATAGGGGCCATACATAGTTCAGATTAAGAAAAAAAAAAATTTTTTTTTTTTTAGAAAGGTCGGAGGAAGGGGGCGCCTAGGGGGCTCAGTCGGTTAAGCGCCTGCCTTGGGCTCTCAGGTCGTAATCCCGGGGTCCTGGGATCGAGCCTCGCCTTGGGCTCCTGGCTCCGCGGGGAGCCTGCTTCTGCCTCTCCCACTGCCTGCCGCTGCCCCTGCTTGTGCTCTCGCTCTCTCTCTTTCTCTGTCAAGTAAATAAAAATCTTAAAAAAGAAAAAAAAGGTTGGTTGGAGGAAGCCTATATGGTATATTATACATGGGGCATTGCTCCATATTCGGAGACATTAATATATCTGGCAGTGAGGGGCGCCTGGGTGGCTCAGTCGGTTAAGCATCTGCCTTCAGCTCAGGTCATGATCCCAGGGTCCTGGGATCGAGCCCCGCATAGGGCTCCCTGCTCTGCGGGAAGCCTGCTTCTCCCTCTCCCACTCCCCCTGCTTGTGTTCCCTCTCTCGCTGTGTCTCTCTCTCTGTCAAATAAATAAATAAATAATCTTAAAAATATAGGGCGCCTGGGTGGCTCAGTCGTTAAGCATCTGCCTTCAGCTCAGGTCATGATCCCAGGGTCCTGGGATCGAGCCCCGCATAGGGCTCCCTGCTCTGCGGGAAGCCTGCTTCTCCCTCTCCCACTCCCCCTGCTTGTGTTCCCTCTCTCGCTGTCTCTCTCCCTCTGTTGAAAAATAAATAAAATCTTTAAAATATATATATATATATATATTTCTGGCAGTGAAACAAATGAGTAGCAAGTCAGTTCAGGTCAGAGTTTGCCCCCAGATGAGTTTAGGTCAGGTCAGCTTTTGCCACCAAATCAGTCAGGGGGAAAAATGAGTTTCAGACTTCTCTGCATTTAGAATTGATAGTTTAGGGGATGAGTACCCACCAGATTCCTCCTCTCTGGCTCTGTGCTACTCCCCCACCTCTCCCTGTTATCCTCCAACCCCCATCTCTTCATCTTCTCCCCTCCATTCGCCCACTCCACATTTAGGCAAATGGACCCCTGTGAACCCCAAGAAAAGCTCTGTGTCACAAAGAGGCAAGTACAGCCCTGCCCAGATGTGTGGGTGGCAGTGTGTGACCCAGCTGGAGGAAGGGAGCAGTCTTCACAGCAACAAAACTCCAGAGAAACAGCAGAGACCTCACAAGACTTTGCTACTACTAGGTCTGGGAGTGTTGGTCAGGTTGGGAGACCCAGTCCTCAGCAGAAAGTCAGAGGTGTCAGGGTCTCCCCCGATTCCATCATCAATGGCAGCCAGGAAGCACAGTTCTCAAGTGGCTTCGGGGGCATCACAGGTCAGAAATGGGCAGAAGGGCCTTGAGGGGAGAGGCTCATGAGCAGGAGAGGCTGTTTGTGTTCACTTAAGACACTCCTA